CTAACAGAATGGCACAAATAGACACAAATCGGAACAAAAATCGGAACAAAAATGTACACATACAGAATGGTCTATGCTCAGAATAGTAAAAATGTCTCAAGAAGTAGGGAGGATTTTGGTTTTCTAAAGGAAGAAATGGAGGCAAATATTAATTGGAAGGCTGTTCCAAGCATTAAAGGTAACATGAAAGAAGGTGTAAAAATCAGGAGCGAGAAATGACGACAAAGGACCACAACAACTTGAGTGTAGACAGGAGGTAGGATAAGACATGGGCAGAGATATAGGTGAGTCCAGAGACCTTTCAATAAAACAAGAAGCTTGAACTTAATTCAGAAGAAGAACAGGAGCCATTGTAAAGATTATCTTGGTAACTGTCTTTTGAATGAACTAGTTGGTGGGGACAGACAATTGAAGAGGGGGTTACAGAAGAACAGCCATACTGGCTCAGATCAAAGGTCCATCTAGCCCAGTATCCTGTCTTCCGACACTGGCTAATGCCAGGTGCTTCAGAGAGAATGAACAGAATAGGTAGTTACAAGTGATCCATCCCCAGTCTCCCATTCCCAGCTTCTGGCAAACAGAGGCTAGGGACACCATCCCTGTCCATCCTGGCTAATAGCCATTGATGGATGTATCTTCAATAAACGTATTTCGTTATTTTTTGAACCCTGTTATCGTCTTGGCCTTCACAACATCCTTTGGCAAAGAGTTCCACAGGTTGACTATGTGTTGTGTGAATAAATACTTCCTTTTGTTTCTTTTAAACCTGCTGCCTATCAATTTCATTTGGTGACCCCTACTTCTTGTGTTAGGAGAAGGAGTAAATAACACTTTCTTCTTTACTTTCTCAACACCAGTCATGATTTTATAGACCTCTATGATATCCTCTCCTTAGTCATCTCTTTTCCAAGCTGAAAAGTCACAGTTTTATTAATCTCTCTTCATATGGAAACTGTTCCATACCCCTAGTCATTTTTTCTGTACCTTCTCCAATTCCAATATATCTTTTTTGAGATGGGCTGACCAGATCTGCATAAAGTATTCAAGATGTAGGCATACCATGGATTTATATAAAGGCAATATGATATTTTCTGTCTTATTATATCTATCCCTTTCCTAATGATTTCCAACATTGTTAGCTTTTTTGACTGCTGCTGAACATTGAGTGCTTGTTTTCAGAGAACTATCCACAATGATCCAAGATCTCTTTCTTAAGTAGAAACAGCTAATTTAAACCCCATCATTTTATATGTATAGTTGGGATGATGTTTTCCAACATGTATTACTTTGCACTTATCAGCATTGAATTTCATCTGCCATTTTGTTGCCCAGTCACCCAATTTTGTAAGATCCTTTTGTAGCGCTTCACAGTCTGCCTGGGACTTAACTATCTTGAGTAGTTTTGTATCATCTGCAAATTTTTCCACCCTCTTGTTTACCCCCTTTTCCAGATCATTTATGAATATGTTGAATAGAACTGGTCCCAGTACAGATCCCTGGGGACACCACTATTTACCTCTCTCCATTCTGAAAACTGACTATTTATTACTACCCTTTGTTTCCTATCTTTTAACTGGTTACCAACCCATGAGAGGACCTTCCCTCTTATTCCCATGACATCTTACTTTGCTTAAGAGCCTTTGGTGAGGGACCTTGTCAAAGGCTTTCTGAAAATCTAAGTACACTATATCCACTGGTGTCAAGTATCAGAGGGGTAGCCGTGTTAGTCTGAATCTGTAAAAAGCAACAGAGGGTCCTGTGGCACCTTTAAGACGAACAGAAGTATTGGGAGCATAAGCTTTCGTGGGCATCTGAAGAAGTGAGGTTCTTACCCACGAAAGCGTATGCTCTCAATACTTCTGTTAGTCTTAAAGGTGCCACAGGACCCTCTGTTGCTTTTTATAGCCACTGGATCCCCCTTGTCCACATGCTTGTTGACCCTTTCAAAGAATTCTAGTAGATTGGTGAGGCATGATTTCCCTTTACAAAAACCATGTTGACTCTTCCCCCAACAAATTGTGTTTAGCTATGTGTCTGATAATTCTGTTCTTTACTATAGTTTCAACCAATTTGCCCTGTACTGGAGTGAGGCTTACCGGTCTGTAATGGCCAGGATCACTTCTGGAATCTTTTTTTTAAATTGGTATCACATTAGCTATGCTCCAGTCATCTGTTACAGAAGCTGATTTAAATGATAGGTTACATACCACAGTTAGTAGTTCTGCAATTTCACATTTGAGTTCCTTCAGAACTTTTGGGTGAATACCAACAGGTCCTGGTGACTTATTACTGTTTAATTTATCCATCTGTTCCAAAACCTCCTCTGCTGTCTCCTCAATCTGGGAGAGTTCCTCAGATTTGTCACCTAAAAAGAATGTCTCAGGCTGAGGAAACTCCCTCATATCCTCAACCATGAAGACCAATGCAAAAACTTCGTTTAGTTTCTCCGCAATGGCCTTATCCTCTTTGAGTGCTCCTTTAGCATCTCGATACTCCAGTAGCCTCACTGATTGTTTAGCAGGCTTCCTGCTTCTGCTGTACTTACAAAAATGTTGCTGTTACTTTTTGAGTTGACTAGTTGTTCTTCAAATTCCTTTTCGCCTTTTGCTCCTTTCTATTTTCCTCAATAGGATTTAACTTCCACTTTTTAAAGGATGCCTTTTTGCTTCTAACTGCTTCTTTTACTTTGTTGTTTAGCCCTGGTGGCACTTTTTTGGTTTTCTTACTATGTTTTTTAATTTGGTATACATTTATTTGAACCTCTATTATGGTGTCTTTAAAAAGTTTCCATGAAGCTTGCAGGGATTTCACTTTTGGCACTATACCTTTTAATTTCTAGTTAACTAACTTCCTCATTTGGAGTAATTAAAATCAGAGATTATTAGAGTACTAATAACATCTTGGCACTAGAAAAAAGAAAGAACTGATTTCAGAGATGTTGTTGAAAAAGAAGCTGTATGATTGAGAAACCAGAGAACTGAAAGGTAACAGTGGGAAGGAAAGAGAGGAATTAAAGAAGACAACCAGGCTGCATGGTTGAATGACCAAATATACAGTGGGGCTGACAAACAAATTAAAGAGAAGACTTGCAAGGAGAAATTATGAGCTCATCCCCTTCAGACATGATGGACTGAGAAGATGATGGGGCATCCTTTCATAACAACTTTCGGTAAACCTGTAAATTAGCCATCTGACACATTTAAATAGGTGGCAGGATTAATTTTGAACCCAGCTACAACCTTTGGGCTTGATCACCCAATGGCATGTGATCCTTGCACCCATGTAGCCCATTCCCCAGGGACTTCAACTGTGCTCCAGGTAAGTGGCGGAGTTTGTAAATATAAATCCAGATACGGGATGGAAGCCTTTCTCAGGGTTGCTTCCAGTGGAGCATTATATCAAATTGTGAACTATTGTTGCACTAAAATAAATAGCTAAAGTCAAGTGCAGTACCTAAACCCCACACACTGTCATAGGAGGAAACTACCTTATACTCTTGCGAGGGACAGACACAAACTAGCAGGTGTTTTCCACCTTTAACTACAATGAGCTTAAATAAAGCTATTAAACAGAATAAAACTTACCGACATAAGCCCCCAGCTCCTGCAATTTTCCCTTTATAGCGCCCTATAAAAAGAAAATAAATTAAGATTGCATTTAAGTTAAGGAACATTGGATATGACTAATACCCAAACTCTGAGAGAATTTTGGTTGCTAAAATTTGTATGTCAACACCAGTAATACAGATCTTGTACAGGTGTTGAGCTTATTTTTCCTCTTTTCCACTATTTGCAATGCAAACTTCCAAAGGGAGAGGCAGTGTTGACAACTCTCATGATGTAATCACCAGTCTTTCAGTATCTGGGATAACTCTAGATCAGAGATCCGCAACCGTTGGTACGTGGCCCATCAGGGAAATCTGCTGGCAGGCCCAGACGGTTTGTTTACCTGCAGCGGCCGCAGGTTCGGCTGATCGCAGCTCCCACTGGCCGCGGTTCGCCGTTCCAGGCCAATGGGGGCTGCGGGAAATGGTGCAGGCTGAGGGATGTGCTGGACGCCGCTTCCTGAAGTCCCCATTTGCCTGGAACAGCGAACCGCAGCCAGTGGGAGCTGCGATCGTCCGAACCTGTGGATGCTGCAGGTAAACAAACTAGCCCACCCCACCAGCGGATTTCCCTGATGGGCCGCGTGCCAAAGGTTGCTGATCCCTGCTCTAGCTCCTTGAGTAATGAGATTACTTGAAAATCTCCATTTATGTTTTTAAATTCCTAGCCCTTCATAGTTGCAGAGAAACACTGGAAAACGTGAACCCCCAAAATAAAACAAACCATAAAAAGAAACCTTGCTTTTCAAATCTAATTTTTAAACCAATCTCATGACCTGGGGGGGAATCTACCTCATGATTTTTGAATCAGGATTGGTGTAGACTAGTGATGGGCTCGAGGTGCACAATTCAGATCCAGGGTTCGGCCTCCCCGAGCGCGAGGATGTTTGGATGTCGGTTCGGCCCAGTCCAGAGCCGGCTTTGGCGGCACAGTTCGGATCTGGATGCGGGTTCGGATTCCAAACTCCGATGAAAGCGGGGTGCCGGGGGGTGTTGAGGCCTCTCGCCACCTGTTCTCACTCCCTGACCCTTCCCCCGTCACCTGGCCCATCTCCCGCTGTGTGTGCGCGCGTCGGGGAGGGGGCTGGACGTGGACCCCGGCGGACGGCTTACAGCTGGGCCCGGGGCTCATTAGCGTACGGCCCGTGACACCAGCCTCGGGCCCTGTTCAGCGGCTGCAGCGCGGGGGTCTGGGGCCGCACCCCGTCGGGAACACGGCGAGCGGGGGCAGCTGGGAACTCTGTGCCGGGGGGGGCAGCCCAGCCGGCCGCAGGGGCTCGCGGCCCCCTTCTCGCTCACCCGGATCTTGCGGCTGATCTCGGTGCCGATCTCCATGGTCGCAATGTCTGAAGAGTCCCGGGCCGCCGCCGCTACCACCACAGGCCGGGCCGACACAGAGAGCGCGGCCTCCGCCTGCTGCGCCCTCTGCCGGGCAGCCCAGGAACAGCACCCGCCAGGACTAAGCCCAGCCCCCGGCCCTCTACAGAGCGGGTCGGGGCCGGCTGCTCTGCCCGCCACAGGCCCCCTCTGCACAGAGCGTCCCCATCGCCACTGAGAGCCTCATCCCTGCTCGCCCTATACACTCTCCTCCTGCCTTCTGTTACACCTGCCCAGCTCCCAGGCTCTCAGACACCGATAACCACCTTTTTTTTTTTAAGGGGGGGTGGGGGGTTGGAAATATCCATTTTTTTTCAATTCCAAATCAAGTTGCCTAGTTGGGGGGGAGGGATAGCTCAGTGGTTTGAACATTGGCCTGCTAAACCCAGCGTTGTGAGTTCAATCCTTGACGGGGCCACTTGGGGATGTGGGGCAAAAATCAGTACTTGGTCCTGGCTATGAAGGCAGGGATGGGATATCTCCATTAATTATATTTAACAAAATATTATTATTATTATTATTATTATTGCCTATTCAGCAAGTTTCCTTGGTAAATTGGCTGATTTTTTTTAAGTTAACATTTAAAAAAAACCTGTATCCCAAACAACTAAGGATGGGATTCACAAAGGTACTTAGGCACCTAAACTTCAGTTTTAGGCTCCACCGTGATTCACAAAATTCCCACCAAACCCTGCAGGTGCCTGTATTTTGAGGGTAAAAGTTAGAGCCCTGTGTGGATACAAAATTCATACCCGCGGATGTGAATATCCACAGATTTAAAGGGCTCTGCCAGGAACCACAGTGGCAAAAGCAGCAGCATCTTGGGCCCCCACTCGCAAGAGCCATTATCCACCACAGACAGCTCCTCTCCCTGACATGACTGTACTGCACCCAATCCTGCCCACTGTAAACCCAGTTTAACAGGCCAGTATACAGTTGGTAGTTTGGACTGCTCCAAAGTGGCATAAAGCAGTGAGAGCATACAAGTGAATCAATCCATAAAAGCTAAAATTAAAACACAAATTAAGGTTGATACTACATATATTTAAATCATTGTATATATCACATGGTAACTTTTTTTAAACTTGTATTATTGTAGTGCTTAACAGCTTGTACCCCATTGTGCTAGGTGCTATACAAACACAGAGCAAAAAAACAGCCCCTGCCCCAACAGTTTACAATGTAAGAATAAGTCAAGAGACATCAGATGGTTCCAGACGAATATGAGAGTACAAGGAAAAAATGAGAGCGTATTGATCAGCATGGCAAGAAGTGATCTTAACACACCTTAATAATTGAAACAAAAAAGGTTATTTCCATACAAAACAGCTACAATCAAAGACATATCAGTAACTTAAAGGTAAAAACATTAACATTACAGGGATGTTGTAATTATCCCCAAAACAAGCATACAAACCCAGGAGTTAAGGTAAAACTTAAAAGAAAAACAAACATATTAAAATATGGAAATAAACAGTAAAGACATCTAAATAACATGAACTCTGTCCTGTAACAACACCATGCAATAACCATAAAATTATGATCAATAATAATTTTTTATGGTCCAAGATTAGATTAAATTGACTTTAAAGACATTAAGGACAGTTGTAAAAAATTACTTATGGGTTCACTACAGAGCCAAGATAAAGTTGTCTGGATAAGGAAGGTCTGAATGCTAAAGGACATATTGTAAAATTAATTTTATCTCAAATTAGTGGATTTACTTGCAAATTATCTTTGAATACAGAATGAATTTTCTGATAGAGTGCTGTAATTTTGGGGCGTATATGCTGTATTCTTCATACATAAATCAGTGATTCATCTCTGTATTAAGTGCAAATCTCAGTTTTAACTACAAAGCTGTAATTGGAGAACCTCAATAATAATCTCAGCTAATATATTCAGTAGCACAAGATGATGAACTGCTGGTCATTGTTTACGAGCCCAATTGTACCTTGAAAGGGTAATTTAGCAAACACAGATAAAAGTTTCATCTGCAGAAACAATAGACATGTTTTAGACTGCAAGCATTGTAGGGCAGGGATTGTGTCTATGTCATTTTATGTCTCTATGGCACCTAACACCCTTTTTAAAACTCAACAAATAAATTATAGTGTTGCATTTCACATAACTGCCTGTGGGTCTTAAATGGTCCCCTAAAAAGACAAGGTGGGTGAGGTAATATATTTTATTGGACCAACTTCAGATGGTGAGAGAGGCAAGCTTTCGAGTTTACACAGAGCTCTTCTTGAGGTCTGGGTAACTTAATCAGAGTGTCACAGATAAACACTCTGATAAGTTGCCCAGACTTGAAGAAGAGCTCTGTGTAAACTCGAAAGCTTGTCTCTCTCACCAACACTGGTCCAATAAAAGCTATTACCTCTCCCACCTTGTTCTAATATCCTGGGACTGACATGGCTACAACACTCCATATTTTACAAGCCCCTGTAAATTCCTGAGAGCCTGATTTAACCTTGTTTTGTGGAACATCCTGTATTTGTCATGAATAATACCTAGAGTGATGAAAAACAAAGGAAGTCTCAGAGACACTCTGTCAAGTAGTAAAAGGGAAGTGAAGGAGAAAATACATTTGTAAAAAGGAGAGAAGATTTTATAAATCACACAAAGAAGAATAATTCCCATCCATGGGACAATCAATATCAGTCAGTGTCTGACTTTAAGGGTATGTCTACACTACGAAATTAGGTCGATTTTATAGAAGTCGATTTTTATAAATCGATTTTATACAGTCGATTGCGTATGTCCACACTAAGCGCATTAAGTCGGCGGAGTGTGTCCTCACTACCGTGGCTAGCATCGACTTACGGAGCGGTGCACTCTGGGTAGCTATCCCACAGTTCCCGCAGTCTCCGCCACCCATTGGAATCCTGGGTTAAGCTCCCAATGCCTGATGGGGCAAAAACATGGTCGCGGATGGTTTTGGGTACATGTCGTCAGTCGGCCCTCCCTCCGTGAAAGCAACAGCAGACAATCGTTTCGCGCCAGACACCAGGGCGGTTAGAAGAGCACAGCAGGGCACGCTGCGCATCAGAGAGGCTTTGAAAACCAGTTTCATGACTGGCCAGGCTTCACTGTGACAGTTGTGCGTGTTTCTCCTTGATGCGAATCTGCCCCCTTTGTTGACTTTAATTCCCTGTAAGCCAACCACCCTCCCCCCTTCGAAATAAAGTAACTATTGTTTGAAACCATGCATTCTTTCTTTATTAATTAAAAAAAATGAGATAACGGACAAGGTAGCCTGGGTGGGGTGGGGGAGGAGGGAAGGACAAAGCCACATTGCTTATTCTAGCCACACTAAAAATCAAACTGTTTGAATGACAGCCTTCTGTTGCTTGGGCCATCCTCTGCAGTGGAGTGGCTGGGTGCCTGGAGCCTCCCGCCCCCCACCCCCCTATGTTCTTGGGCGTCTGGGTGAGGAGGCTATGGAACATGGGGAGGAGGGTAGGTGGTTATAAAGTGGATGCAGCGGGGGTCTGTGCTCTTGTTGGCTTTCCTGCAGATCCAACAGACACTTCATCATGTCCGTTTGCTCCCCCATTAGCCTCAGCATCACATCATGCCTCCGCTCTTCGCACTCACTTAATTCTTTCCTAGCAGGGCCGGCGCAAACCATTAGGTGACCTAAGCGGTCGCCTAGGGCGCTAACATTTGGGGGGCGGCGGCTGCGGTGGCCGGAGCTTCGGCTGCCCCGGTTGTTGGCGGTATTTCGGGGGCGGGACCTTCCGCCGCCTCTGTCGAGGGCGGCATTTCGGGGGCGGGACCTTTCGCTGCCTAGGGCAGCAAAAAAGCTTGCGTCGCTCCTGTTTCCTGGCCTCTGCCACTTAATGCCTCCATGCATTAAGCTATACCCTATCAGTGCGAGAGGACTGCATGAGCTCGGAAAACATGTCATCGTGAGTGCGTTTTTTTCGCCTTCTAATCTGCGATAACCTCAGGGACGGAGATGATAGGGGGAACGTAGAAACAGTCTACGCTCTACGATTCTGGGGGGACTGTATGGTCACCTGTGCTGCTGAGTTCGCCCTGCTGACCAAACAGGAAATGAAATTCAGAAGTTCCTGGGGCTTTTCCTGTGTACCTGGCTAGTACATCGGAGTTCAAAGTGCTGTCCAGAGCGGTCACAATGGAACACTCTGGGATAGCTCCCAGAGGCCAATACCGTCGATCTGCGTCCGCACTACCCCAAATTCGACCCAGCAAAATCGATTTTAGTGCTACTCCCCTCGCCGGGGAGGAGTACAGAAGTCGATTTTAAGAGCCCTTTAGGTCGACGGAACGGGGTTGATTGTGTGGACGTATTCATTTTTAAATAGACCTAATGCGGCTAAATTTGACCTAACCCCATAGTGTAGACCAGGCCTAAGTGTTTGGAGCCACCGTCTCATGTGTTCAGTGAATAAATTATGATGCATTCTCTATAGCTTCTGTGGTGCTCAGAAGTCCTGGCAACCCTTCTTTCCTATTGATTTCTAGAGTACACTAGTGTCAAGAACTAGTGTCTCCCCAGTAAATTCATCAAGACACTTGTGCAAATGTCTTCTTGCTCCGGAGAACAATGGAGTTTGTTGTATTTAGTGGGCTCACTTTGGAGTGACCATTTTCCATTAGTCAGGGAATAAGCTGACCCAACCCTTTAGAGTTGCCAATTTGGGTTGGACATATTCCTGGAGGTTTCATCCCATGACATGATCTTTAATTACAGATTAATCTTTAATTCCTGGAGACTCCGGGAGAATCCTGCAGGTTTGGCAACACTACAAACCTTGGAGTCAGGCAGGGACACCAAATTGCCAGAAACGGGGTAACGTGAATTCCTGCATTTAACTACCACTCCCTGCTTAGGCAATGTACCCAGCTGCCCTGCTCCCATTGCACCAGCTCCACTAAGAATGGAGCAAGCCCGGAGAGGCTGGATGGAACGATGCCAGTTCATTCTAAGACAGCCAGGGAAGGCGCAACCAGACCACTGCCTGGGGTCAGCATGGCAGTGGGAAGTAGCCCCCAGACCGCTACCCTTAGGTGCCAGCGCAGCCCAGAGGCCATGTTGCTCACTGAAGGGAATCCAACCGGATCAAGGTGTGTCCTGGGCTGGGACCTCCCGGGACAGCCTGGCCCCTCGCAGGCCAAGGACAGGATGGGGAGGAAGGGGGCTTGGCTAAGGGTCCCTGGGGCCTGAATTACACCTGACTACAGAGCCTGTGCCAGCCTGGCGGGGACAAGGGCACAGGGTACCACACATGGGTCCAACCTCCACTCCCAGAGCTAGTCTACATCTATTAATGCGCTTGCGTCAGAGACAGGAGCATGCACATTCACAACAGTGAAGCTGCCGCTGTCCTGAGTGCTTGCCAAACTTGGTTTCTTAGCAAAAAAGAGAGCGGGGGCAACACAGAAGGCAGCACGGGCAAGGACGTGACAAAAGAAGGATGGGAGAGGCGGAGAAGTGGGGCATGAGGAGTCCTTCCTAGGGAACCCAAAAGAAACACAGGTCTCTCAGGAGGAAAGGTGGAAATGTGGGCTGCTGAGCTGGGTGCGTGCCCCTTAGTGTAAAATGCACAAATACACAGAGATGAAAAATTAGGGAGCTAAGAGCATTCTCAGAGATGCAACTTCAGGGCAGGATCACACTGAAAGCAGGATTTAGGAAGGAGACGTAACAGATAAAATGTGTGGGATCTCTCAATTGCCTGGAGCCGGGGCAATCACTCCCAGTTACAAGGACTTAAACGGGGGGGGGGGGGTTGGGGTGTTCATCCAGACATAGCGCTGCAACGTGTTGTGTTGATAATAGTATTACGGAGGCATCAAATAACCTTAGTTGTGTCCTGTAGTTGACACCATTAGGGAAGAAAAAAGGGGGAGAACATACAGAGGTGCTGGAACTAGGGGTGGAAAGATGTTTGAAGTGGTTTCCATCATTTTCAGGTTTGCAGTTTGTTTAATGGCTTTCAGCACCCCCATTATAAAAATTGTTCCAGCACATATGGAGACATACCTTTAAAGATCAGTGTAATGTAATCTGGGAGGGACCAAATCACTAAATTGCATTAAATATAATTGAATGATTATTGCATGGCTATGGCTACCAAATTACAGTTATTTGGATGCTTTAATAGCGTGTTTCTATACCCGGGGTGGGCAAACTTTTTGGCCTGAGGGCCACATCAGGGTTTGAAACTGTATGGAGGGCCGGGTAGGGAAGGCTGTGCCTCCTCAAACAGCCTGGCCCCTGCCCCCTATCCTCCCACTTCCCGCCCCTTGACTGCCCCCTCAGAACCCACGACCCATCCAACCCCCCCTGCTCCTTGTCCCCTGAAAGCCCCCCACCCCTAACCACCCCCCTGGAACCCCATCCTCTATCCAACCTCCTCTACTCCCTGCCCCTGACTGCCCCGACCCCTATCCACACCCCCACCCACTGACAGGCCCCCTGAGACTCCCACGCCTATCCAACCAACCTCTACTCCCTGTCCCCTGACTGCCCCCTGGGACTCCTGCCCTTTATCCGACCACCCCGCCCCCCTCCCCCCTTACCATGCTGCTCAGAGCACCAGGACTGGCAGCCCTAAGTAGTACACCGTACGTAGCACATTCCGATGGGGAGCAATTTAATACACTACACCTGTGGCTCTCACAGCCATGCTGCCCAGCAGGAGCTCGTTGCCCCGCCGCCCAGACCGCTGGCGGCACGGCGAGCTGAGGCTGTGTGGGAGGGAGGACAGCAGGGAAGGGGCCAGGGTCTAGCCTCCCCGGCTGGGAGCTCAAGGGTCAGGCAGGACAGTCCAGCAGGCCGTAGTTTGCCCACCTCTGTTCTACACCTTAACATGTTGAGATGTCTTTTAAGCCTAAACTTAACTGCATATTTTTTGGATATTTGGAACATTCCTGTAATTTTTTACACTTGTTACTGATATTTACTATCAACATAAAATCCCTCAATCTATTTTTTTAACTTGGAATATATGGCTTGCAGGGATCATCATAAATATGGCTCAGTAGCATTAAAATAGGTGGGAAAATAAATTGTGCTCAGAATGAAAAGAAACTGTGATAGAAACCATGTTTGGGCCTAACACAGTGAAGAAATAACTCAAGAGCAGTTCCTCACATACAGGGTGGATAAAAATCAATGATTTAAAAAAAAATGGATTTTTTTGATAAAATGCTTTTAAAAGATAGTTTTAATTAAGATACATTATAGATCAAAGATATCTCATCATGGAATAGGGATTATAAATTCTAATGCTATAGTATGAGACAATATATTCATGTAATGTTTAAGAAAAGTTTTGTAAATGAGTTCCAATAGTTCATGGATTAGGGATCCAATCTTACGGGGTTCCACAGGCTTCTGTATAGATTATTTAGGTTAATCTTTCTATCTATCCAATGGGACTCAGTGCTCAGTCTAGAAGATACCATCAGAGATGCTTAGTTTTGCAGTTCTCAAGCTGTGGATTTGTGTCTCCAGAGGTAACATGCTTGTTAACAGCAAAAATGTTTTAAAATAAATAAATAATATATAGAGGTGAGAAATAACAGACCTCAACTCTATTGTCCCTCTGCAAATTTGTGTACACAGGGTCAATCCCTTACCTCTCTCTAAAAGTGCAAAGTTTCAAAAAGTTCAATGAATAGAAGATTGTTGGGGGCGGAATAAATCTGGACAAGGAGAAGAGGTCTGGAGATAAATGTGAGAAGCGAGGGAAATATGCTTGTTTTGTTAAAATATATGTTTGCTGCTGAAGAACCCCCCCCCCAGAAGCTTTAACGTTGTTGTTTTAGTTAAATAAAACAATTTAAATGTCTATTTGGTGATGTTCTCCTCCTAATACAGCATGGCAAGAAAATCCTCCAAATATTAATGATTAACCTGTTGAATTGGAGATAGATCACCTCTCAATGACTTCATAAATATCTGCTTCAATTACCTTTGGTAAATGAAATAACCAAACACTCATTCATTTTCTGATATAGCTGTAAAACTAATCTGAAAAGTTTTCAAAATAAATCACTGTTTAAAAATGTATAGTGTGTACCATCTATCTCTGAGCTGTGAAGAATCTGTATTAAGGTCATAACAACCAACAAGAATGCACTTTTATGTAGAAAACCATGATTGAGTCTTCCTGACTAGTGATTTAAATCAAATCCGCCCTGCTCACATAGTACAAATATTACCTACATTTTGTCGTCACACACAGGTTAGTGTTCTGCTGAGTTACCTACTGCTTACCTACGAAAACAACAAGGAGTCTGGTGGCACCTTAAAGACTAACAGATTTATTTGGGCATAAGCTTTCATGGGTAAAAACCTCACTTCTAGTGCCCAAATAAATCTGTTAGTCTTTAAGGTGCCACCAGACTCCTTGTTGTTTTTGTAGATACAGACTAACACGGCTACCCCCTGCTACTGCTTACCTAGTTGACCTGTAGTTAAACCTGCCTAGAGCGTGGGGGGAAGAGTTAAGATTGCATAGCTGACATTTTCTGATAATGAATCAGTATTCACTTATTATGTTTGATTCCATCCCCTTCCTTGTCTCCCTTTAAGTCAGTGCCACTGCTTTCATCTGCCCCCGTAACAATGAAGACCATTCCATTACCAACAAACTGAGGAGGGATACTTAACATTTATACAAGGCTTTTCTTCCATTAAATGCTTTATAAACATGAACTAATTAGTCCTCACTTAGTGCCTGATCTGACAGTTCTTATTAATTACAAAATTCCTGTTGATTTCAATGTGGGTTTTTGGCTGACCAAGGACTGAGAATTCTACCTAATCAATTTTGTATTTTCAGTAGTGCTGCTGCTGCTGAGAAAGCATCTGGATAAGGGCTGGTACTCCACAATCACTTTTGTTTTAAGTCATAGACCTTAAAATAATGCACAACGGCTACTTTATATAATACATAAACCTAATTCAAATGAAAGCTTAAAAATACGTCCAGGCGAGGTATAAATAAGACCAGTAGATTTGAAAGAAGCTTCTCTTTAATTGGAAAGGCATCAAATAAATGATCATATGATTAAAAAAAGAAAGGATTGCCTGCTGTTTGTTGTAAGTCCCTATTTCTGTAATGCCCCGGTAGCCAGAGGAGCAGCTGTCCCATTGCTGACATTCTCCCTGCCAGGCATTCCGGCTCGGTGAGGTAATGGCCTATAGCATACGGGCTTCGCTTTAATCTTTCATTGTATCCTTCCGCATGGATCGAGCCAGGGGAACGCCTCCAGGAAAAGAAATGAAATGCAGAGCGAGAGAGAGATGATTTGAAATAGTCCAGCGAACACATTTTGTGCTCAAGCAGCACAATATCCTTGGTCCCATGAAAGGTGTCTGCAAAGCTGGCTGCTGCTGCAGGTTTATTTGGCTGCAATATCGTTCCCCTCCCAGTCCCTGACTCTTTACCCAGTGGAATGATATCCAGAGCAAGGGCTTTGAGACAGGAAGTGAGGCGTGTTTTCACTATGAGTGATCTGAGAAGAAGGCGGGTGAGCGGAGCTAGCAGCTGTTTCATGCAAGGGGAGCACAATAAGTCCGTTTCCCAGGAATTTAGATGAGGTGGCTTCAGGGGAAGAACTCCGCGCTGCTGATGAGGTTTCACAGCTAAAGATGTGGGAAGGGATACGCTGTGTCTTTGGCTCACTGCAGCAGGTAATGCGACGGGCGCTGTTGGAAATAACGTGTTCTGTCCCTCTTTGGTTTGTTTGTTCGTTCAGGTTACACAGTTTCAGGCATTTCCTTTTAAGATAAATAAAAGCAGCCTGTAGAGGTGAGGTCAGTGTAACTTTCGGGGCCTCTTCGCTCCGGGTAGCAGAAGAAGTTTGTGATGGGCACATTTTGACTTTACTCTTACAGTTAGTCCCAGGAGTAAGTAATACCAGTGATTGATTGATAAAAGTGTAACAAGGCGAGGGAAGTGATTTTGCTTTTAGGCTTCGCCCCATATTTATAAAATACGTTTCAATACTTGAAATAGCGGGAGCCTCATTTCTCCTCCATGCTTTCCAGTTTTATGTTGCATACTGTCATTCGTGCAAACTATATGATGAAATGCTTTACAAAGTTAAATGAAAGCTAATTATTGGAGAGGATTTAGGAGGCATAGATAAAGAAGGAAGATATTCAAATCCTTGGTAATTCTGTTTGGTTCATAGCCAGATTGGGCTAAATTCATATCTAAAATTATATGTGCAGCATGCATGTATAGATGGATGTATACAATTTAGCAAGTGACAATTTTTTTTTTGGCTGTGGTATGAAAATTCTAGGCCTGCCAAATAAAGACTTGTAATTTCAGCAGAGTTGATTGGATTTACAAGGGTTGGCACTTTGGTGCAGTTTTCTTTTTGCAAAAATAGCCCTATAACAGTGTAGATACAGGTTTCAGAGTAGCAGCCGTGTTAGTCTGGATCCGCAAAAAGAACAGGAGTACTTGTGGCACCTTAGAGACTAACACATTTATTTGAGCATAAGCTTTCATGGGCTACATAAGAAGTGGGCTGTAGCCCACGAAAGCTTATGCTCAGATAAGTGTGTTAGTCTCTAAGGTGCCACAAGCACTCCTGTTCTTTTAGTGTAGATACACATGTTTGAAATAATGCCTGAGACAAATATGACAGCAGATGGTAGCGCAAAATGACAGCTGGTAAATGAAAACAATACTGCACTATTTGCAAGAATTGTGCTTGGCCAGCAATAAGTTATTGAATTACTCCTGAACATTATTCCTCAAATGTTCTTAGTTGTTCAGTACAATTGTATTTCACAATATGTCAGGGGCTATGTGTTTAATTAGTAATCCATATCCTTCACTAAATCAAATAAGTGTAACTATTTTATTTCCCTATAGCATGCCTAAGAATCATTTTAAGAAGTGAAGTAAGCATGCCTCATAAGTAAGGAAAATTTACCAAAAAATATAGTTTATCTAAAGTGAAAATTAGTTTGTCATCACTAGGGAAACATGCAGAGAATACAATATGGCCTTAAGAATGGACCTGGCATGTTTTGAAAATTCCTTCCCATTTAATGGACCACCAAGTCTTATTTAAAATTCCCTCCTATGCATACATCTAGTTTTGTCAAAAAATAACTAAAGCATCCAGAGAATCCAGGCAATCTGATTAAATTTCATTTGTCAGTCGCTCTGGAGCTAGTGAGATGTATAGGTGTTATTTGGGTGCTTTTTAAAAAAATTGAAAGCCTTTCATGTTTAATTGTACCCCTTTAAAACTTTTAAAACCGATTTAAAGTTATGACAAAAAGCTCCATAATTTGTTTTTTGTCTTTGGTACTACAGGGATCAGAGAAAAGAGCATAATCTGATATACAACCTGTTCAATACCAAGGCAGAGGAAAGCGAGCTCGGTGAGTGATCCACAAATTTCACTGCCAGGAATAAATGCACTGGGGGATTCTGCCCTCAGTATGCAGGAAACTCTGCAAGGTTCAGTCTGTGGAACCTTCCCTGCACACTATTGTTATGTAGTAGGACTATGTGGATCAATGTGCAGAGCAAACAGGAAAGCCTGGAAACCCCACGTCATCCTAGGCTCTGCAGGGAAATTGAATTCCATCCATTATGATTTGTATTCTAATAGTACCTAGAATTTTGTTAGTATTGCATATGCATACAGGGAGACAGTCTCTGATCCAGCCTACCTTAATTACTGCATAGAGTGGCACAACCTATTCCAAATCATTAGATGCATGACCATGCAAAAAGGACATGGAAGGTTTCCTGATGTGGGAAGTTAAGTAGGTCACTGAGGTGCTCCTTCCCCTCACTCTCTCTGTGTCAGGGGGTCATCTGTCCCTTCTTGCCTACCTTTATTCCCCTCCATGGGTGCCTAACTAAAGGGAACATGGAGCTCTGTATGAGTTTATGAATTTTCCTTGATTGAGCCAGAATGATCCATAATAAAGATAATCTGTATCTAATTTGAGTATTTTATTTAAGGGACTAAAAGAGAGGTGCATTAGGAGTTTGCCTCCCCCATCAAAATTGATCCTTATTCTGGAAATATAAATAAGGTATTTGATTTAACAAATTGTAAGGGGAGTCTTCTCAGAAATCAAAGTCAATACATTTAAAAAATTTAATACTAACACATGCTAGTCTGAAGAAATGTTATTTGGAAGACGTTGGAAACAAGGAGTTGATGTTTGATTCTTTCCTAACCATAGAAGAGAGAAATCAAGTGTAATATTTTGCAGGCAAAACAGTGTACATGATTTGAAAAACTTGAATGTTATGTGTTTGCCCACAGGAAATATTTGCTGCCAGGCTACACCATCACTGAAAAATAAGACTTGATGGTCAATACTGACAGGTCCTTAACTACTGTGCTAGAGCAGACATTTAATAACGTCTATTATTGTTAATGTTGCAGAACATGTTGCCTGCAGCAGTCTGGGGTTTCATTGATGATTGTGTTAATTATTAAGTTCCATAGTGTAGTAATTAGTGCCTTCAAGGCTAGGTTCTGGTAACACTGAAGCTAGGCATATGTTTTGATCACTATAGAATTCCTATTTGCATAGGTACAGAGTTAATATTCTCCTGTTCATAGACACATATTTCATTTGTTTTCTTTATCTGTAATTCACTCTCACTCTGTCCTGCTTTTCTAGGTTTTAAACACTGCTGGAGTAACATTACTTTTAAAAATTCCCTATTTAATAGCTGCAATAATATTTCCTCCTTAACTTTTTTTAAATAAAACCTTTTAAGTTAAGGTGGATATGAATTTGCATTTAAAAAAACAGCCCCCTAACCCTTCATTAAAAAGGACGTTTGCATGTTTGTTTATATAAAAGCTGACCCTCCTCCTCCTGAAGTTTTAAGTGTTGAAACAAAGCTACTGGGAAACTAGAGGGGACCAAAAAAATAAATAAGCTAGATGTGTGGCATCCATGATTCCACCTAGGCACCTGATGACATCATCATCGTGACCTAGAGGCCAGGAATGTAACTCCCAGCAAAACCAAACATAATAGGAAAAATAAATTGCACTGGAGGAATCAGCCCCACGTGTCCCGATAACAATGCACAAGGTTAAAGGGGACCTCAGCTGGAGGCCTAACTAAAGCGGGCACCGTTCCTTTAAATGCTCCCCTCCCTCACCTTCCCCTTGTAGGTGAGGAGGGCTTTGGGCGGCCTCTCCAGATTAACCAGTCCCTGACACGTCAAGAAGCTCCTGTGGGCGACGAGCCTGATGCCTCGGCCCTCTGCTGCCCGGTGCTCAGAGTCTGGGCCAGGGAGCCTCCCTTTGGCAGCCCGGGTTCCGAGCTCCTTCAGCCCTTCCTGGAGATGGGCTTGCTCACTCCCTCCCTCTGGACGGGGCTGCTCTGTGTCAGCAGCCAGAGACCTTTCAGATGTGAGCTCATCCAGAGGGTCCTCAGAGCCTGCTACCAAGCAGCTGCTAGTCACCAACCTAGTGGGGCTAGTCGTAGCAGAGGGGGAATGAAACCAAACAAACCCCTTAAAGCCACAGGCTCGGGTAATCAGCGTATCCGTGATGTGTGCTGTGTGTTGTTTACCTTGGGCTGGTAGTTTCAAGATTAATGTTTGGCTTTCTCCTCCCCAGGAATGTGATTAGATGTCAGCAATTTACTATGTGAAGCCTGCCTTTGTGTAGCAATTTCCATCAGAATGGATCTCAAAACACTTTATAAACCTTACTAATTATCCAAACTATTTATGTCTATGAAACATAGTAATCACTGCATAGAGAATAATAGTCTTTTAGAAAATGTTGATACCTTCACTTCCATTATGTAGGCACATTTTCTAAACAGTCAATAGTTGTAATAATGATGTGCAGTTTATTATAGGGAGTGGTCTATGAGAAAGTACCTGAGAGAGGGTAGTAGGTTTTCAGACTTATTTATGGAGGGCTTTCTGCGCTTAGGAGGTAGCATGAAAATTGTTTGTGGGAGACATGGAGCAATGGATGGTGTTAAGAAAATTGTCAGGGTATATAGGTTTCCTGGAAGAAATCTTTCTTTGAGGAGATTTAGAAAATAATTGCTTCAACCACCACTGAAAGGTAGTCCCCTATGGCAGGGGGGAGGGGAGGACACTATGGCATGTACTAGCAACCAGAAGCACTGTATAGCTGTTTAGCACAGGAAATAAAGAATATTGTAGCTAACAAACTGCAGGGGGAAACAAGAGTTGGAATATAATGAACTGAATGGGAATCTGGCTAGGATTCCCTCACCCCAGCTCCAAACCAAAAAACCTACCACCACACAACACCCCAAACTGTGGCATCTCTAATACCCCTATGTTTTGGTTCTGCATTTTGTCCAAGACCGAGCCTCCAATAGCATGGTGCTCCTAGGACAATACTGGTTTTAGTCCTCAGTTGGAGAAAACAGTGCCACCTAGTGACTCTCCTTCCCAATTACTTGAAGCACTTACGTTTTTCCTAAAGGTGGCTCATCCAAGTATTGATCCAGTTTATGAAATACCTAGCCATTTTAGAGCCTTTTTTTTTATCTTTAAAGCATGTCAAATGGGATGTGGACAAATGCTTTTGGTCCAATTTCATTACACTATTTGGCAGATGACTAAGACAGAGCCATCAAGAAGTTGTGACTTACCAAAGGTCATTCCAAGAGTCCTTGGCAAACCAGGAATCTTTGTTCCTGTTTCACTGTTGTAGACCATACACCTCTCTCTCTCTCGGAGGAGGAAGAAAATCGTTAACCATGTAGATTTAGAAAATGTGAGTTTGTTTGTGGATTTCCCATGGTTCCAATTCCCCTTTCAGGTAAATCACTTCTGGACTCTCTCCCTTCTTGTTAGAACTGCTGTGAAAACTCCCTCCAGTTAGAGCTTGGTGGAGGACCTGCTCTTCTTTAATGGCTGCTGCTGCCGCTGCTGGTTGATTGGCAGGATACTTCAGGGCTCCTATTGCTTGGGAGAAGACTGCTACTTCCCTTCATTTTCCAGCGTGGTGATAGCTTTTCATCACTGTCTGTGGGGAAAGATGCCGTTACCTTTTGGGCTCAAATTGAAACGAACTCGACGTTACACAGTGTCCAGCAAGAGCTGCTTGGTGGCCCGCATCCAGCTGCTCAACAATGAATTTGTGGAGTTTACTCTTTCTGTGGAGAGCACCGGTCAGGAAAGTCTGGAGGCTGTGGCTCAGAGACTCGAACTGCGGGAGGTAAGAAAATTGGCAACTTCTCTAGCCATCCCTTTAAAGGGGTTACCCAGTACAGTGATTCCCTACCATTTTAGACCAGTGGTTTTTAACCTTTTTTCATTTGTAGATCCCTAAAAATTTTTGAATAGTGGCGTGGACCCCTTTGGAATCTTAGACATAGTCTGTGGACCTCTGGTTGACAACCACTGTTCTGTGATAATGACAGCCTTTTATGGACCCCTTAGACATAGTCCGTTGATCCCAGGTTGGAACCACTGTTTTAAATAACTATGCTACTTTACCAAATTCTCTCCTGTACCAGCCACCCCAGCATGTTCCTTCAATTGTGAATGCTCTGATCCACAGTGCAACTTGGATGGCTTCAAAATCCAGTCTCACAATTTATGTTGTAGAGAATGGGATGTGGACAGCAGCAATGCACCATGTTTCAGCCCACAAGCCTAAAGTGCTGGCCAAAAGGACAATAGTTGTCACTTCTTGTACAGTGCTGCGAATATTGTCAGAGTTTAAGACAAGTAATGACCATTCCTGCCTGAATAGATCATAACAGAGGGATACAGGAAGTAGTGGGCGATTTGGAGGCAGGTGTTAATTTAGAATCTTATTTTTTCCCCTTTTAATCAGTTTATAGAGCTTACCTCTTTCTTAAAGAACCACTTCATTCATATATTTGAATGAGTGGGGTCTCAGGGCACTGGTGCTGTGCAAAAAAGCACCAGTGCTCATGGGCGGGCGTGTGAACCGCCGGCTTGGGGAGGTTAGTCCCCATCCCCGACTGTTCTGTCCGAGGCCCCGCCCCTTCCATCCCACCCCCCACCAGAGGTGCCACTGCGCCCTTCTCCCAACACCACCGCAGCCACCAGCCCAGTCCCACGGCTACTCCCCCAGCCCCAAAGGAATGCCAGGAGGGCAGGGGCGTGGCCCCAGCCTCCCCACTTCCGAGCGCGGGAGACGCGGCCCCAGCCTCCCCAACCAGGAGGGTGGGGGCGGGCAGCTGCTGGCTGCAGCCTCCTCAGCTCCGGAGTGCAGGAAGGCGGATGGAGCGGAGCACTGAGGGGTTGGAGCCAGAGGACTGGAACCGCATGCAGGGAGCGTCATGGCAGGGGGTGGGGTCACGCCTGGGTGTTTAGGGAGGCAAAGTCTCCCCCAGGCTATGCGACCCACTGCCCATGCCAGCACTAATACATGTACTGTGGACTGGGTATGTGCAAATACACTCATGGTATGTATAAGCTAGACCCGGGGTTCTCAAATTTCATTGCCCTGCGGCCCCCTTCTGACAACAAAAATTACTACATGACCCAGGAGGAGGGACCGAGACCTGAGCCTGCATGAGCCTGACGTCCCCTGGGTGGGGGGCCCAAAGCCTGAGCCTCACTGCCCCAGGTGCGGGGCCGAAGCCCAAGGGCTTCAGCCCCAGACAGGGGGCCTGTCATCTGAGCCCTGCCACCCAGGGCTGAAGCCCTCTGGCTTTGACCTTGGCCCTGGACAGTGGGGCTTGAGCTTCCGCCACGGGCCCTAGCAAGTCTAATGTCAGCTTTGGCGACCCTATTAAAATGGGGTCGTGACTCACAGTTTGAGAACAGCTGAGCTAGATAGTTGAGCTAGCAGATGGCCCATTAAATGCATAGTTGGCCAGGTGCAGATGCTTGACTTCAACTAAAAGTCAGAGTATTTGCATACACAAATTAGTTTTGAAAAGAAGGTTAAACATTTTGGAGAACTCTCTAGTAACTCAGATTTACCTCTGTCCCACACAAATCTGATGATGATCCCTCTTTTGTATTTTGATTTATTTACACCTGAAGTGCTGAATTGTGAAACTGGGCTTATGGAATCCTTACCTAAGTAGAACCTTTGTTCACACAGATCTCTTTTTAAAGGGAGACATTTATTATTGTTGTAACTCCATTAGTTTCAGTCTGGTGGTAGGAGAGATGAATTTGACCCCAAGGGCTGGATGCTGTTGACACAATTTGGAAATTGGCACATATCCCAGTCCAATTCCTTGCTGTATCCATGTATTGCGTAGTTTGTACTTCATTCATCTGACTTTTTGTTTGGGGGGAGGGGGGACGACAAAATATAAACTAGAAGATGTACAAGACAGAAATGGGTATATGTTGCACCGTAGTACTAGAAAAGAGATGCCTCTGAATACTGCTTTGTATAAGAGACAAAACCCCAGACTGCAGTACACAACAAAAATAAAAGAGCAAGCTGGAAAGGCTATAGGATTACTCTGTTTAGTTAATTAATAACTTGTTGATTTTTCCAAAATATTGAATTTCCAATTTCAAGCAGCTTCAATAACTATTGAGCAAACAAATTTAGGGCTCAGTCCTGCAGACAGTTACTGTTATGCACAGCATTAATTACTTTAGAACTGCTCATGGTATTAAGCCTTATACAATAGCAAATGTTTGCAGAGATGGCCTCGTATTCTGTATTAAAAATGTTTTGATAAACATAAGAAAAGTCAACCCCAGTACAAATCATTATCAGCACTTGCTTACTCTGGGATCCATTAATTTCCATCTGCCTTCTTGTAGTTTGCCATCAGTTGTCTTTTTAAACTTTTATTCTTCAAAATTTAATATACCACATACTTTTCTGCAGCAGTTATTAATTCATTGTCTTGTGTTCTCACCATGCTATATTGTGCCGGAGGGAAAAAATATACTACAAAAGTAGTTCTATTGGGATAGTGCCAGTCTATACTGTAGCAGGCTGTGTACCTGTTCTTTAGTGCTGATGGTTGACTGTGTGTGTGTTAGTGGAGTTTGGTGACATCTGAAAATAGACTAAATTGACAATCAGGCCCAATTTACAGTAACAGGTGGAGATCTTATTATATCTGGTTTGCAAAAGGGTAGTGTCATGGGCTTGATCTCCCACAGCAACCTTTTGGGGTGGGGCAGAGCCCTGTGCTTCAGTCCTCAGCACCTAAGCAGTCATCAGCACAAGTCTAGATGTGGGAACCTCTGACCGAGTCCCAGGGGAGTCTATTCCTTCTGGGGCTCTTGTAGGTACCCAACATTACAAAGGAAAGCAAACAAACTACTGGAAGCTGACAGCAGGCCATCTTCCTGCAAGGGGCTTCCAGCAGTCTGTAACACAGTTCAGCACCCTCAGGCAAGTCACTGACAGGAGTTCTAAACCAGCCATTCAGGATCTGGCCCACCTTCCGTTCAGGAGGCTCAGACTGACCACCATGGCCATGCAAGCAGGTTTTGTCCTTAGCTGCTACACTCGCCAAAAGCTGAGGATAGGAGGTCTGTTCTCCTCGCAGCACTGCACCCAACTGAGCTGGGCTTCCCACCCCCCGACCTTTTTTTTAAAAATTTTATTTTATTAAGGCCCTTCCTCCAGGCCTGAGGTGCCTTGCAGATACAGTGGGGAAGGGCTGCTTGCGTTGATAAATGCTCTTCTTGTCCAGTGCAGGATTTGTGTACTCCATCACACGTAGGCACTGTCTACCCTGCCTGACCTAGTCACACTTATCAAACTATTTACCAGGTGCTGGAGTGTCAGGGCAGGGGGGTGTTGTGTACAAGGCTGGCAGTTCCGCCTAGTGGCTATACTCTTATGTTACCCAAAGGCGAGAGTCTGGTTGCTTTGCACAACATCTAGAGTCGGTGGCTGGGGTTAGGGGAACCCAGACCCACTCTGCAAGATGCCACTGATAATTTATTAATGTATTAAGGACCCTCAAGTCCATCAACATTGATGGGAATTGAGGGTGTTCAGTACCTTGTAAGATCATGCCTGTTGAATGGGGTGTTAGTGCTACCATGAAAAGTAGCAACATCAGAAAGTGGTTCAGATATTGTATAAGGGATATGCATATATGATGCCTGAATTGTGCATGCAACCTTAACAAAGCCTTTTGCAACAAGATTTTTTAAAAATATATATATTACAAAGGGCAAAGAGTCAAATAGTATGATTTCTGAATTTTTCATTCACTTCCTGTTAACGTCATTGTAGTATTTACTTACTGTATACAGGATTCTGAGAAACAGCTTAAGGATTTTGCGTTAATGCTGTATTTTTTAACTGTAATGGAGGTAATGTCATTAAAATATCAATTTTTAAATCATAATGTGCATCACTAGACACTGGCTTTTACCAATTCCAGCCTCTATATTAGCAAGGTAGTATGGTGTACTGGTTAGAGCACAGAACTAGGAATTGGGAGACTTGAGTCTGTTGTTGACTTCATCTGTTGACCTGTTATAAAATAATAAAAATTTACTGAGGAGAATATCTTGTGGTATTCCCAGAATGTGAATCAGAGGCAACATAAATATAATCCTGCTCTCTTAATCACAGACCCTGGGCAAGAAGCCAAGTCAAAAACATGCCTTCATTAAATTCACCCTTAATCGTGCTTCAGAGAGACTATCCTGGGGCTGCTAAAAGAGGGGATATAATGAAAACCTAGGACTTCTGTTTATCACACGAGACAGTCCCAGTCTTGCAGATCTGAAAAAGGATCAAGTGCTGTGGTTGTGAAGCTGTTGACTGCAAACAGGATTAAAGTTGTGTGTGTGTGTGCGCACACTTGCATGCACATTTGCACATGGCATGCATCTGTGGCACGAATATGAGCAAAAGACATTTTAAACCAGAAACATCTTTTAAATGTTAATGCTATTAACCATCTTCAAGGAAGTTGAGGGAATTTTTAAGAATAAACTCTCTTTAATTTTTTTTTCTTTATTTCCATTATGATTATGAAATTTCTCTTTCAAAATGAAAAATGAAGGGGCAAATCCTGCTGGTCTTGCACAAGTAGAGTCAGTTGTCACTGGAGTTATTTGTGTGAGTGAGGTGAATATTTGGCCCCAAGTTCTGAAAACACTGTGACAAGGGAGTCTATCAAAAGCTGATGAGAAATTCCTGGAGAGGGTTGGAAGGTGGCACATGCCTTTATTTATTCATGTATTTATCTTGGGTCTGGACAGGGTGGCCAACTTTCTAATCGTACCAAACCG